ACCATTAATGTTCAGTCCATTGCACCATATCGCGTTGGGAATTGTACATTAAAACAATATACAGTCATATTGTTATACAAGCTGCACTTTAGTGCATGCGATTTTCAGTTTATCACAGACAGTGCATTTGTGCAATGATTAAAATACTCCGGCGTGAACAATCAAAAGTCCAGTTATTTACATAAATGTCACAACGTGTTTGACTAAAGTTGAACCTTTGACCGGAGCGCCGATATATCGAATCCATGTATATATATATAAACTTACTCCTCTATTTCTAGTTATATTACACAACTCATACACTATTAAAACCACTAAACATTTGTTAGTCAAAAAGTATAATGCACATTGTTTTAAAAAAAATAATAATAATAATAATCTCACTCCCTATTCTAGTGAAATATTGATCTGGATCGAAGATCCACGACATTTTTGTAAGCTGAATGGCCCTCTTTCCAATATTAAATGGGATAAAATAAATGCAATAAAATAAAGAGACAGGGAATATCAGTAAATATAATAATTAAAAAGAAATTTAATTGATGTTGGACCAGACATATTAAAATCGTAACAGTACTGTTAGAGCATGCTTCCCCAATTCAATATGTTGTGTCAGGCAGCAGACAGTGAAAACAGCTGGAGGTATAGAGAACAATTCGATGTATTGGTTAAAACATGGCCAACTGCCGGGTCACGGCCCGGCCTGTCGGGTTGGCGGGCCTCAATTGTTGGGCCCGTAATTGGCCCGTCAATCCCTATGAACAGGTCCGGCCTGGCAGTTGGTTTTAAAAAAAATTAAAAAAGTAAAAATAAAAAAGCAACTGTAACCTATTGGAAAAACTAAAAATGAATAAAAGACAACCCTTAACCGGCCCTTAAGAAGTTCCAGGCCGGTTCATAACCCGGCTTATCCTCCAGTTCCCGTTCCTGGACCGGGCCGAACCGGTTCTGGGACCAGTTTGGGGCCAACCCATGGACCGGGCCGGACCGGTTCTGGGACCAGTTCGGGGCCGGGTTGGCCCGTGGCCTCTAGTTTTTTTTTTATTATTATTTTTTTTTTTATTTTTTTTAAAGGCCTCTAGTTAAAATTGTGCAATTGAATAATTTCCATAATAAATGTGTTATTATTATTTTTTTTTAAAGCATATTATATTAGACTTACTAACATCAAATTAATTTATATATTATGTCTTTTGCATTGATGTTTGATATAGCAATTTTATAATTCAAACCCGTAAAGCTTATTATGGGAATAGAATTAAATTTTAAACTTAAGGAACGTCAGTTTAGGTATAGAAATTACGCAGCACATTCTCAGCTTTGACTGAAATAAAATGTTACATATTTTTTTTTTTATTTACAAATGCATTTTATTTTTAATTCCTAAAAGGAACAATATAGTAACCAAAATGTTTGTCAGATTGCAACCTCAATTTTTAAAAGTCAATAAATCAACTCTGATAATCAATGCATACGTTTCCACATCTCTATCGGATTTCTTAATACTAAAAAAAAAAAAAAAA